TATCCTTATCATAATAATTTCATAACATAGCGAAAAATAAAAAGCCAAAAAATTACAAAAGTTTTTATTGAGTTTTCATATAATAGATATACAAAGGAGCGTGGGTTCCTGTGTGTGAAACAAAGGCTAGACTTCATAGGTTGCTTTCAGGCGGATGCTGTGCAGAATTTCTTTCAGCTCCTGAAAAGATAAAACAATGTTTACAACTTGAACTAAACAGACAGGCTCTGTACATTCTTATAATGCATGTAATATCACAGGGCAGAGGGCACATATAAATAGAATGGCACGTTTATTAACTAGTCTTATGTTCAGGTTCAGCTAGCGAAAAACAAAAATCATGATCTGGAATTAGTTAATGATATAACTGTTTGAGGCCTCTTGTTAAAAAAAGTAACACTGATAGCACAACCAGTTTCATTTGCAGGGTGGGTGAGGTTACGACCGTTAATATATTTCTCTTGATATTAAAAGTTATAACACGTGTTGTAGTACATGTTGATCCATTTCAGGGAAAGAGATCATTTACAAATTCTCTTCGAAAATTGTGACAAATATATTGCACATATATGATAAGTTTACAGAGAATCCTGTAATGGATGGACAACACACGGCACAATGGAGACGACAGGCTGTGTAAAATATGTATCTGTCAATCATTGTACAATGAACACTCGAAATCCTTGGATCAGAAGCTTCGAACTGTGACAAGCATGGTAATACTTACATTTAACCACACGACATTTTAAATTAGGTCAAAATATTTAAAATTAATTGTCAAGGCCGGGGCACACAAAATGTTCAAACAAAGGGTTCTAAAGTGGGGAGGGTTTCAAGCAAACATAGGTTATCATCAAAAATCAGATGAATGCGCCGTTTATTCTGAACATTTGGAGTTCCAGTGCACTGTAAGCAATAATTTCTACCATTCTGAGTGACATACTATTAACAATGAAAATATAGTATAAGAATCCATGTCATATATATTTGCCGTAACTATTTTTCTCATTCTTTTGCGCCTTTAGTATTTAATGGCTGTGGTTGATGAAGAAAAAGTGATACTCACAAATATACATTTGCTTCCACGCCTTATAAAAGCTCGACCTTCTGACTGCACCACACATACTGTTGCGTCTACACCCGACTCTGTCTAACTGCCAAGTGAGCATTCGGGAAGACAGCTGGCACTACGATGAACAACTTGTTGTTATGCAAATACTAACAGGTATAGCTCATTTCAGGTGAGAGGTTGTTACTGAAACTGTTCACGAATGTTCAATAAACCCGGTGGTGATACCTTTATATGCTCAAAGTCGTGCAAATATTCGATGTCAAATACGATACTCTACAAGTCCAAAAGTGTCTAACTGCGCCTACTAGGCTACACATGTAGCCCGTAGCAGAAATGGGAGTCCGCTATGAACCGTAGTCCGTTCCCCATTTCTTTGTACCGGTGACAGTACATTACTTCAATTAACCCTAACCTGTACTAATCATATGAGTGCACTTCCATTCCTAGGACTTCTATTCCTGTTACACCTGTTTCCCCAATGTGAAAATTATTCTGAAATAGCAGCATTGTGTGTCTTTCTTTACACATACACATACACACACACACGCACAAAATCGATGCGGTCTTCTGCCATGCTACGATACATTTTGCTCAGTTAAGGGAATTGGCCTGCTGACTTAAATTTTATTTTAAATTGTCAGCATCAAGCCCACGTACGCCATTCATGGAATAAGAAGTTAGGTTTATAACGCGAACAAAGACGCGAGACGTCAATGGTGCATGAATCATACCATTTTGAATTTCTCATATATATATATATATATATATATATATATATATATATATATATATATATATATATATATATATATATATATATATATATATATATATATATTTTTTTTTTTTTTTTTCGAAGGATCTTTCATTTGGTCAGACCCTTGATGAAACGTCAAGGTTCATATGAATGATATGAATGAGTACATGTAACAAGGACCGAATACAGTTTGGTGGGTTCTAGTATTACTACTGAAAAACACATTTGGTCTTTTTATTTATTTTGTCGAGTGACTTATTTACCAATTAAAATGTTAACAGGGGCGGATCCAGGATTATTTGAAGGTGGGGGGGGGGGGAGGTTGGGGGTCCGGAACGACAGACCTCGGATGTGAAGCCGACCATCGCCCACTTGGTGTGGGGTTTGGGGCCAGCTCAAAAGGTTTTTTGGTTTTCTGGAGAGCAAACAGAGCCCTTTGGGACGGTTTAGAACTATGAATTAGCTAGTCAAAATTATAATTTTAAGAGGAGAATATTGGTGTGATATATATATTTTTCAGAAACAGAAGAGGGGGTCAGGACCAGAGGCGGACCCAGGATTATTTGAAGGCGGGGGGGGGGGGGGATGCAAAGCCGACCTTCACTCCAACCCCTACCCCGGTTGGCGTTTACTTACCGGTTTGGTATTTTAGAGGGCGAACTGTGCCATTTGGTATGGTTTAGTACTATAAATCAGCTATTGAAAATTCTAACTCCAAGAGGAAAATATTAGTGTGATTATTTTTTCAGAAACCGAAGGGGGTCAGGACCCCCCTGACCCCCCTCTCTAAAACCGCCACTGGTCAGGACCCCCCTGACACCCCCCTCTAAATCCGCCACTGAAAGTTTATCTTCACATCACCACATCATAAAATAATGATAACTTAATCATGAGTGCGTGCGACGTCATACATGTGCGCACGTATGCTTTTACAATGCATATTTCCCTTCATCTGTACCTATTTATAGTTTCACTTTTTCCTGTTTATTTTGTTATTTCCGCTGCGGAAATTAGCCTAGATAAATATTTATACATTAGTTGAACCATTTTAAACACAATTTTCACAAAAACCATAAAATTCATATTATCAGTGTTAACTAAATGGGGCCAATATTCAATGTGGACGTCTCTCAAGCAAAAGTAGGTTTAAAATCATTTGATTGCATTAGCTGCACCTGATGTGTTTTGTATCTTCTCTGTCACAATCAGCATTCCAAATCATTTCAAAGGTTTGGCGCATTAAATAAAAAGGAAAGTTTTTCAAAGTCATAAACACTATACTTATTTATCGCCTTGCCTGCTACAATGAACAACCTTTTTTAAAGAAGAAGAGTACTTTTTACAGGGCATTAAATGCTTATACAAATTCAAAATATAGACAAATTTTCAAAGCCATCTTTTTTTCTCCAAAGAAGATTTTCTTTCGTTTTTAACGTAAGTATGCACGATTTCTGATAACAACTTTTATTTTCATTTCCTTTATTGTTCAGCATCCCGTTAGGGCATCTTTTTTCCAAAGAAAAACATTGTATGCACGATTCCTGATAACAGTTTGCATTTTTATGTCCTTTACTGTTTGGCATTACGTAAGGGCATCCTTTTTTCTCCAAAGCAAAACACTTTTCTTTCGTTTTCTTATTAACGTAAGTATGCACAATTCCTGATAACAATGTGTATTTTTACTTCCTCTATTGTTTAGCATCCCGTTAAGTGACTCACTTTGATAAAATGTCAAGTGCAATGTCATGCAACTTACTGTAAACATTTATCAATCTTTTACTCTTCATCTTAAAAATGATCCATTTTTCATAAGATCATAAATACTATTTTATTTTATTAATGTGATCCCATTTCAGCACTCAACATGCCAACGGGTGCCGAGGGGCACCACGGCTTTTGAACATAATTCACGTTTATTATAATTGCATAGCATCTCTACCTGAAATGGGTTTCACCTCAGGTGACTAAAGAGCAAGTCTTGGTAATTACTCTTGGTACTTTTTTTTTTTTTTTTTTTTTTTTGAGAAATTGTAGATCACATATTAGAAATGGGAACAGGTGTAGCCAAGTGTGTCGGGTTATGGCCTCCTGGCTACCTTAGAGTAACTTAAAAGAAAGGCTACATTGCGTAAAAATGTGGCCATTTCTCTGAGCACTTCTCTTTGGCTGGTTCAAGAAATGAGTATAAAAGGGCTTAATTAGCAGGGCCCAGGAATAAAGGACCATAAAGAAATAATATAATTTAAAAATTATTATATTAAAAATTCCGCCGAGAAGAAATGGATCACGGGTCATCACTGCTCAAATTATATTCTCTTAGTAATTTTGTTCAATAAACTGTATTTGAGAATTTTTATTAATTTCTATGTCAAATAGCAATAGCAGTTGGTCGGATTAAAAAGGGGAATAATTCCTATACGAATATCACTTATCTGTACACATATAATAAAACACAAACACATACATGTACTATAAATGACAGAGGACTAATATTGCGATAGCGATGCCTTAACAATGCAGGCCCCGTTTCACAAAGAACCTTTTAAAAATCCTTAGTTGATTAGGACGTGTTCATGTCTCCAGGAGAGTGCTCTAACACTGCTTCTGATAGGATACGGTGCAGGGGCGGATCCAGGATAATTTGAAGGGGGTCTGCGGCTGCGAGACCGACCCTTCCCCCCCCCCCCCCCCCCCCCCCCCACTGAAGGACCTCAAGATTTTGGTATTTAAGAGGGCAATTGGTGCCATTTGGTACGGTTTAGAGCTACGATTCAGCTTGCCAAAATTCTAATTTCAAGAGGGGACCAGAAATCGAAGTAAGGGGGGTCTTGCCCCCCACCCCCCACCCCCTCGGTCGAAATCGGCACCTGGGATGCATGCATGTGTCCATGTTACCTTGGTAATAAGGATGTAACCCAGTGAATTGACTTACGTTTTTTTTACGTGAAACTGGAACCATGCCTTCTGTGAAGGAACGGCAGTGAACGTAACAATGAGCTTTTGTGACTGGGAAAAGAAAAAGAAAAACTCTTAACTGCGTACAACATTTAGGAAAGTAGTGCTGCTTTTAAGAAAGAGTGGTAATACAGAGAGAGAGAGAGAGAGAGAGAGAGAGAGAGAGAGCTTGCTAATCATAATAAATTATTAAACGCATTAAAACAGAATAAATTATTAAACATTTCAAAGTTTTATTTCTTTGTTCCCTTAAGAAAACAATAAACTTTATTTTACAACAACATACGAACACATTCTATGTGTAATAAAAACTGTCTTTATAAAGTAAAAACATCTCTGTCCGTTTATTTTAAAAAATGCAAATTATCTTTCTACTTTTTTCTAAAGCAAAGTGCTTTTAAGCTATCTCTCTGGCAAGATTGCATTGGACGACCCTGGCTGCGTCTACGATCAGTCCTTTCTAAGCTTCGGTTAAAAAATAAAAATCACAGAAAACTTCAAACAACCTCCTTCATATGGCAACAAGAAAACATGGCTCGTTAGCTCAAGCATTGTCTCAATGATATGGTTTTGATCACCTCTATTCTATGTGTCTCTTTGGGTTAGCTAAAACGAGGCATGGGGGGTCATTCCGTCTTTTGAATGAATTCTAGCGGTTCAGGGTTTCACGGTTTAGAAGCACTTGCGGTGGACGATGCTGGGTCCGGACTCGTCGTATTCCTGTTTGCTGATCCACATCTGTTGGAAGGTGGACAAAGAAGCCAAGATGGAGCCTCCGATCCATACGGAGTATTTCCTCTCTGGTGGAGCGATGATCTTGATCTTCATGGTCGGTGGGGCCAGGGCGCAGATTTCCTTCTGCATACGGTCGGCAATGCCCGGGTACATGGTGCTACCTCCAGACAGCACGGTGTTGGCGTACAAGTCTTTACGGATATCCACATCACACTTCATGATGGAGTTGTAGACGGTCTCGTGCACGCCGGCCGACTCCATGCCAAGGAACGAAGGCTGGAACATGGCCTCCGGGCACCTGAATCGCTCGTTACCGATGGTGATGACCTGTCCGTCGGGCAGCTCGTAGCTCTTCTCCAGGGAGCTGGAGGAAGCGGCCGTCTGCATCTCCTGCTCGAAGTCCAAGGCGACGTAGCACAGTTTTTCCTTGATATCACGGACGATTTCTCTCTCGGCTGTGGTGGTGAAGGAGTAGCCACGCTCGGTGAGGATCTTCATGAGGTAATCTGTGAGATCACGACCAGCCAAGTCCAAACGGAGGATGGCGTGGGGTAGGGCGTAACCCTCGTAGATAGGTACTGTGTGGGTGACACCATCGCCGGAGTCGAGCACGATCCCCGTAGTACGACCAGAGGCGTACAGAGACAGCACTGCCTGGATGGCGACGTACATGGCTGGAGCGTTGAAGGTCTCAAACATGATCTGGGTCATCTTTTCCCTGTTGGCCTTAGGGTTCAGTGGAGCCTCTGTCAGCAGGACTGGGTGCTCCTCGGGGGCCACACGCAGCTCGTTGTAGAAGGTGTGATGCCAGATCTTTTCCATATCGTCCCAGTTGGTGACGATGCCGTGTTCAATGGGGTACTTCAGGGTGAGGATACCTCTCTTGCTCTGGGCCTCATCGCCGACGTAGCTGTCCTTCTGCCCCATACCAACCATCACACCCTGAAAAAGATGAACCAAAGATGAAAAGAGATGAAAAAAGTTGTTGTTTTCAATATTAAAAATCTGACACCTGTGTCAACCTTAAATTTCATTTTCCAAATCAACTATTTTTTCACAATGGTGCGTTAAATAAAAAAGGATAGTTTTTCAAACTCATAAACAGAATATCAATTTATTGCCTTGCTTGCGACAATGAACAACTTTTTCTTAAAGAAAAAGAAAACTTTTTACCGGGAACGAAATGTTTATACAAATTCAAAATATAGACGAATTTACAAAGCCATCTTTTTTTCTCAAAAAAAAAAAAAAAAATTTTCTTTCGTTTTTTCGTAAGTATGCACGATTCCTGATAACAATTTTTATTTCCATTTTCTTTATTGTTTAGCATCGCGTAAGGGCATTTTCTTCTCCAGAGAAAAACGTTTTTTTTTTCGTTTTCTTTTTAACTTAAGTATACACGATTCCTGACAAGGGTATCTTTTTCTCCAAAGAAAACGTTTTCTCTTTCGTTTTCTTTTTAGCGTAAGTATGCACAATTCCTGATAACAATGTGTATTTTTTATATCCTCTATTGTTTAGCATCCCGTTAAGTGACTCACTTTGATAAAATGTCAAGTGCAATGTCATGCAACTCACTGTAAACACTTATCTTTTTTTACTCTTCATCTTAAAAATGATTCATTTTTGATAAGGTCATAGATACTATGACCTAATAAGGGTATTACTTTCAAAAAGAAAAAAATAATAACATTATTTTATTAATGTGATCCGTATTCAGCACTCAATACACTAAACGGGTGCCGAGGGGCATTTTTATATTACCACGGCTTTCGAACATAATTCACATTTGTTATAATTGCATAGCATCTCTACCTGAAATGGGTTTCACCTCAGGTGACTCTAGTTGTTTTTCAAACTCGGACCATTTTCAAATTTGCATGCTTGTGTCTATTAAGCGGCTAGACAAGATGGGGGCGGTGCGGTTCAGCTAACCTTTATGGGCAGAGAGAGAGAGAGAGAGAGAGAGAGAGAGAGAGAGAGAGAGAGAGAGAGAAAGCGAGAGAGAGAGAGAAAGAGAGTGTAGAGAGTGAGAGCTAAAGAGCGAGCACGCGCTCGCACGTGTGTGTGTGCAGGCCCGTAGCCAGGGGGGTTTGGGGGGTCCGAAAGAACCACCCTTTTTGCTGGGAAAAGGTCCACTCTGCGTAAAATTTGATTTACACTGTATGTACTTGAGGATTTTATGGTAAAAGGTCCACTTTTTCAGAAAACGAACACCCCCCCCCCTCTGAAATTGCTGCCTACGGGTCTGGTGTGTGTGTGTGTATGTGTATGTGTTTGAGAGAGAGAGAGAGAGAGTCACTCCCTAAAGCTCCCGCCCACACCTTGTCGGTGGACAGTGTATGCGTCCTTGAATGGCTGTCATTTCTGTGCCCACCCTCTTAACCGCCGTCCCATCCACCAAGCGATGAGTTGTACACACATCACTCCACTAACACAGCAGTTCATTATGTATGCTTCTAGCTTTTATAACTAAATGCCTTCCGTCTGTGTCATAATACTGCCACGCGGGGCTACTAACGGACAGAAGTTACATGCGACAACTGGTTTTATACATGTTAATTTAGAACAAAAGGAATACAACATACATCAACGTTAAACTGAAGGTTAAAAACAATGGTTCAGTGGACCTAGCGCGCATGTGGCAAACCTAGCTTTAATATGCCGCCAGGGATTATATTGTAGAGGTTAGGGGTATGTCGCTTGTCGGATAATGTGCTCATCATTGTCAACAACAAGCCTACTACTGCAGGATATTCCCATAAAAGGCAAACCGAGCAAAATAGGTCACAGGTTTGTAAAAGATCAACCGGCACTTCGTACTGCTGTCGCGAAAGGTCGCGTTAACTAGAGGATTTGACGCATGGCGCATATACTGCTAACCTTTAAGTGACTCGGCATGTAATGTTCTCATGGACATAGAATGCTGGGATCTTGTTGTTATTTTTTTACATTGTGTACATGCTGCAAAATTTGGTTGAGAGATGGGAAAGTTACTGTGCGCCTGCCACCCCTCTCTCTCTCTCTTTCTCTCGCCCAGGGTGTGTGTGTGTGTGTGTGTGTGTGAGAGAGAGAGAGAGAGAGAGAGAGAGAGAGAGAGGGAGAGAGAGAGACAGAGAGAAAGAGAGGATTTCTATTATCTATTACACAAACGTGCAATAAAAGCAGCGAGTGGCACAATGCGGGTGATTTGAACTATTTTCTCAATTTAACTCTCTATAAATTGGATGACATTTTATATCAAGGCACGTCTCAATAAATATTTCCCGTCACTCTGTTACATTCGATAGTATGTGCCTCTTGTGTATTCAAATCTCCACAACAACAAACAGTTTACTGAGCAAACGACCCCCCCCCCCCCCCCCCCCCCCCCCCCCCCCCCGGCAAAGCTGTGGAAGGCGGGGCCTGACTAAAAAGGGGGCGTTGTCGATTTGCACCACCTTGTTGATACTGGAAACCATCAATGAATCTGTGAATATCAATTAATAAATATGCCCAGGTAGCAGATATTGTAGTTGATCATACTGAGTATAATGGATATTTCAACGGTATAGTTGCCGTTAATAATGCTTCATTTCTATCAGATATTGCCAGCGTCTGCAGACGATTTCACTTAATTCATATGCAGTAATCTATTAATTAATGTATATGCTGTGATTCATAATTCATAATCAAGTGACTAGTCATCCTAATTAATCTAGTGAGGTAGCCATTCAAGGACCGATATATTCAGTGTTTGATGAAGAATGTTATGATGAAGAATGTTGAATCTTATTTGATTGCTAGTATTAATACAGGTTGATAGATCTTGGATTAAAAGGTCAATAATAATAATAATAATAATAATAATAATAATAATAATAATAATTATTGAATCGTTCTTTCTTTAGGCCGAATTCCTACTTAATCATTATTTATAAAGATAAATGTTTTCTAAAACTATCTACTCTGTCTGCAACCATGATGATAATACGCAACGTGGCCGGCCAATTTTTTACATAGCACAGGTGGCTCTCACCGTTATACTTAATGATTACTACTTAAAGGGATAAATTCAATCCCAGACACGATCCGGTCACCCACCTGATGTCTTGGGCGTCCAACGATGGACGGGAACACCGCTCGTGGTGCGTCGTCCCCAGCAAAACCGGCCTTACACATGCCAGAGCCATTGTCAATGACCAGCGCGGCGACGTCCTCGTCACACATTGTGAAGGGAGAGTGTTATCGGAGTTAAAAAATAACTGAAGCTTAAAAAGCACCTCTGTACAGTAGGGATCGGTTGCAAATAGTGAGGATGCCAGTGGCCTGCTTATTGAAATAGCCTGTCACGCCCAGAAAGGCAGCTTTCTTCATTGCCTTATATGGTTATAGCCTAAATAGGCTGCAGAGCCCCATCTTCCCATAGTAACCTCGTCGACAAGCAGCTGCACATGACACAGCTCGCCTTACCACATTTGTAATACATGTCACCGCGTCTGCGTGCACAAAATTGGTGCATTTATACCAGGCATGTAAATGATATTTGACAAAGAAAGATGACAATGGCAATAAAAGGTCCTTTATATAGTGAATTCACGTGTAGAATGAAGGTATTTTTTTNCCCCCCCCCCCCCCCCCCTCTGAAATTGCTGCCTACGGGTCTGGTGTGTGTGTGTGTGTGTATGTGTATGTGTTTGAGAGAGAGAGAGAGAGAGTCACTCCCTAAAGCTCCCGCCCACACCTTGTCGGTGGACAGTGTATGCGTCCTTGAATGGCTGTCATTTCAGTGCCCACCCTCTTAACTGCCATCCCATCCACCAAGCGACGAGTTGTACACACATCACTCCACTAACACAGCAGTTCATTATGTATGCTCCTAGCTTTTATAACTAAATGCCTTCCGTCTGTGTCATAATACTGCCACGCGGGGCTACTAACGGACAGAAGCTACATGCGACAACTGGTTTTATACATGTTAATTTATAACAAAAGCAATACAATATTCATCAACGTTAAACTGAAGGTTAAAAACAATGGTTCAGTGGACCTAGCGCGACTGTGGTAAACCTAGGTTTAATATGACGCCAGGGATTATATTGCAGAGGTTAGGGGTATGTCGCTTGTCGGATAATGTGCTCATCATTGTCAACAACAAGCCTACTACTGCAGAATATTCCCATAAAAGGCAAACCGAGCAAAATAGGTCACAGGTTTGTAAAAGACCAACCGGCACTTTGTACTGCTGTCGCGAAAGGTCGCGTTAACTAGAAGATTTGACGCATGGCGCATATACTGCTAACCTTTAAGTGACTCGGCATGTAATGTTCTCATGGACATAGAATGCTGGGATCTTGTTGTTATTTTTTTACATTGTGTACATGCTGCAAAATTTGGTTGAGAGATGGGAAGGTTACTGTGCGCCTGCCACCCCTCTCTCTCTCTCTCTTTCTCTCTCCCAGGGTGTGTGTGTGTGTGTGTGTGTGTGTGTGAGAGAGAGAGAGAGAGAAAGAGAGGATTTCTATTATCTATAACACAAAAGTGCAATAAAAGCAGCGAGTGGCACAATGTGGATGATTTGAACTATTTTCTCAATTTAACTCTCTATAAATTGGATGACATTTTATATCAAGGCACGTCTCAATAAATATTTCCCGTCACTCTGTTACATTCGAGAGTATGTGCCTCTTGTGTATTCAATTCTCCACAAAAACAAACAGTTTACTGAGCAACCGACCCCCCTCCGCCCCCCCCCCTCCGCCCCACCCGGCAATGCTGTGGAAGGCGGGGCCTGACTAAAAAGGGGGCGTTGTCGATTTGCACCGCCTTGTTGATACTGGAAACCATCAATGAATCTGTGAATATCTGTTAATAAATATACCCAGGTAGCAGTTATTGTAGTCGATCATACTGAGTATAATGGCTATTTCAATGGTATAATTGCCGTTAATATTGCTTCATTTCTGACAGTAAATGCCAGCGTCTGCAGACGATTTCACTTAATTCATATGCAGTAATATATTAATTGATGTATATGCTGTGATTCATAATTCATAATCAAGTGACTAGTCATCCTAATTAATCTAGTGAGGTAGCCATTCAAGGACCGATATATTCAGTGTTTGAAGAAGACATGTTATTTGATTGCTAGTATTAATACAGGTCAATAATAATAATAATAATAATAATAATAATAATAATAATAATTGAATCGTTCTTTTTTTAGGCCGAATCCCTAATTAATCATTATTTTAAAAGATAAATGTTTTCTAAAACGATCTACTCTATCTGCAACCATGATGATAATACGCAACGTGGCCGGTCAATTTTTTACTTAGCACAGGTGGCTCTCACCGTTATACTTAATGATTACTACTTAAACGGATAAATTCAATCCCAGAGACGATCCGGTCACCCACCTGATGTCTTGGGCGTCCAACGATGGACGGGAACACCGCTCGTGGTGCGTCGTCCCCAGCAAAACCGGCCTTACACATGCCAGAGCCATTGTCAATGACCAGCGCGGCGACGTCCTCGTCACACATTGTGAAGGGAGAGTGTTATCGGAGTTAAAAAATAACTGAAGCTTAAAAAGCACCTCTGTACAGAAGGGATCGGTTGCAAATAGTGAGGATGCCAGTGGCCTGCTTATTGAAATAGCCTGTCACGCCCAGAAAGGCAGCTTTCTTCATTGCCTTATATGGTTATAGCCTAAATAGGCTGCAGAGCCCCATCTTCCCATAGTAACCTCGTCGACAAGCAGCTGCACATGACGCAGCTCGCCTTACCACATTTGTAATACATGTCACCGCGTCTGCCTGCCCTGAAATGGTGCATTAAACCAGCATGTTAACGCTATTTCACAAAGAAAGATGACAATAACAATAAAGAGTCCTTTGTATAGTGAATTCACATGTAGTATGAAGGTATTTAAAAAAAGCATCGGCCAGTCTTAAAGCTTCTTGAGTCGTCTTGATTTATATAAGTACTTCCATCTAATCTTATCATAGTCACACGCGAATGGTGTGTTTAATATTGTATTTGCAGCAAGAAATGCCACGAATCGGCTTGTTGCTTTATGTTGATATTCATATCTTTTTATGGCGTCGAAATGTTATCCGCCCATACGAGACAGCGGTGTAACATTGTGTTGAGCTCTGTGGAGGGCAATAAAATCGACATAGATTTTCTTCCTACATGACTAACAGCCGAAGCTGCTGTTGAATAATTCATAGCCACTAGAATCACAGGTTGATCCAATTCACAGCCTGTCACCACTTTCCCAGGTTAATACAGAGAAAAGGAAGCCCCTTAAAATAACCCCGAGCTCGTCTAATGGATCGCCTCACTGAAACGCGGAAGGTCCCAAAGAAATACGGTANCCCCCCCCCTCCGCCCCACCCGGCAATGCTGTGGAAGGCGGGGCCTGACTAAAAAGGGGGCGTTGTCGATTTGCACCGCCTTGTTGATACTGGAAACCATCAATGAATCTGTGAATATCTGTTAATAAATATACCCAGGTAGCAGTTATTGTAGTCGATCATACTGAGTATAATGGCTATTTCAATGGTATAATTGCCGTTAATATTGCTTCATTTCTGACAGTAAATGCCAGCGTCTGCAGACGATTTCACTTAATTCATATGCAGTAATATATTAATTGATGTATATGCTGTGATTCATAATTCATAATCAAGTGACTAGTCATCCTAATTAATCTAGTGAGGTAGCCATTCAAGGACCGATATATTCAGTGTTTGAAGAAGACATGTTATTTGATTGCTAGTATTAATACAGGTCAATAATAATAATAATAATAATAATAATAATAATAATAATAATTGAATCGTTCTTTTTTTAGGCCGAATCCCTAATTAATCATTATTTTAAAAGATAAATGTTTTCTAAAACGATCTACTCTATCTGCAACCATGATGATAATACGCAACGTGGCCGGTCAATTTTTTACTTAGCACAGGTGGCTCTCACCGTTATACTTAATGATTACTACTTAAACGGATAAATTCAATCCCAGACACGATCCGGTCACCCACCTGATGTCTTGGGCGTCCAACGATGGACGGGAACACCGCTCGTGGTGCGTCGTCCCCAGCAAAACCGGCCTTACACATGCCAGAGCCATTGTCAATGACCAGCGCGGCGACGTCCTCGTCACACATTGTGAAGGGAGAGTGTTATCGGAGTTAAAAAATAACTGAAGCTTAAAAAGCACCTCTGTACAGTAGGGATCGGTTGCAAATAGTGAGGATGCCAGTGGCCTGCTTATTGAAATAGCCTGTCACGCCCAGAAAGGCAGCTTTCTTCATTGCCTTATATGGTTATAGCCTAAATAGGCTGCAGAGCCCCATCTTCCCATAGTAACCTCGTCGACAAGCAGCTGCACATGACACAGCTCGCCTTACCACATTTGTAATACATGTCACCGCGTCTGCGTGCACAAAATTGGTGCATTTATACCAGGCATGTAAATGATATTTGACAAAGAAAGATGACAATGGCAATAAAAGGTCCTTTATATAGTGAATTCACGTGTAGAATGAAGGTATTTTTTTAAAAAAAGCATCGGCCAGTCTTAAAGCTTCTTGAGTCGTCTTGATTTATATAAGTACTTCCATCTAATCTTATCATAGTCACACGCGAATGGTGTGTTTAATATTGTATTTGCAGCAAGAAATGCCACGAATCGGCTTGTTGCTTTATGTTGATATTCATATCTTTTTATGGCGTCGAAATGTTATCCGCCCATACGAGACAGCGGTGTAACATTGTGTTGAGCTCTGTGGAGGGCAATAAAATCGACATAGATTTTCTTCCTACATGACTAACAGCCGAAGCTGCTGTTGAATAATTCATAGCCACTAGAATCACAGGTTGATCCAATTCACAGCCTGTCACCACTTTCCCAGGTTAATACAGAGAAAAGGAAGCCCCTTAAAATAACCCCGAGCTCGTCTAATGGATCGCCTCACTGAAACGCGGAAGGTCCCAAAGAAATACGGTAGACTTCCTTAACGAGACTTGTAGTGTCCATGTCTTTCCTTTTTTGTATATTTGTTGTTAACAGAAAGTGTGTTACACACGACCATAGATAACTTAATAGCACAGCGCGTGGAAATATGCTATTTATTTGTTCTTAATTTAGGAGCCTGAAAGCTGCGTGGTTTATGCTTTAAGTGCTGTTTTCGGATACATTTAGCGGAGTTGTCTGAGAGAGAGAGAGAGAGAGAGAGAGAGAGAGAGAGAGAGAGGAGGGGGGGGAGAGCAAGAGCAAGAGAGAGAGTGCAAGAGAGAAAAAGTGAGCGTTTGGAAGATATAGAAGGAGAGAGCGTGGGAGGGGTATTATACAAGCGCGAAAGAGGCGGGAAAGGCTAGTGGGTGTAAATTCGAGGCACAGCAGTGGCGTGCACATCAAATTCTTCATGACTGTGTGCGTGTATGTGCACGTGTGTGCGCAATCATGGCGACAGCTTAATTATCCTTATAACATTTTAAGTTGACAATAAAATGTCATCCCGTGTCAAGGTCACTGGGAGACCCTATTCTGATGTAATGTTCGTGAATGATTATACTGAGCGTTGGAGAAATAACGATGACTCCAAAGGGATAATAACTCTTCGTATGAGATCTATATTTCACAATAAAAAATTGTGAACAACTCACAGAAATATTATATATTCTGTTTAACAAAAAAACGGCAGTTATAGCCATTATTCTGATATCTGAGCTTGTCTTTAGACCACGTGACCTGCATTGATAGCTGTACTATGTTATAATCTCTTAAGAAATTATAACAAAAAAACTTATTAGAGAAAAAAGGGACTATCTTTGAATGTAAAATGGATTCATTAACCGTTGGTAAGTATGGGAAAATTGTTGTTTATCTCCAGGGAAATTCATTTTTTGGCCAAAATGAAGATTTATTATCCCTTTAACATCACCCTGTAAACCAATTAAGCATCAACCTCCCGGATATTTCTTTTTTATTCTTTGTTTTTATTCAATTGATTTGACAATATTAAACATAAAAAAGGAACAAGTGGAAAAAACAGTTATTTATTCTTGATGTTGTTTTAAATCTATGTCAACAGTAGCCTTCGTTAGCAATACTCTAAAAACCTCCCATTAAAATGCTTTAATTCCCTTTTATTGTTCACCAAAGGTCGTCTATGACGCTCCAGGTCATGTGGTCGTGCAAACTCAATTTCGGCGTCCTTTCAAAAAAAAAAAAAAATAATAATAATAATAAATAAATAAAATAAAATAAAATAAAATGCCTTTGTATTTCTTTTGAAATACTTATTGTATGCATTATAAGAAAGAAAATCACATTTCGCGTGAACGTGACGGTTAGTACGTTATAGTCATCAAAGTAGTGTTGGCTTATTCAGGTGACCAGGGAACTCGAGTAGCTATATTAAAGATGCATACAGAGTCAATTTTTTGTCACAAAAACCAACCAAATGCCAGCATATAGTTTCAAGTAGTATAACTAAGAGAATTACCAAAAGGCATTGTTTGATTTTACCCAAAAATGATGTTTGAACAGATTATTTTTCTGCTGGCATTCTAAGCTGTATGTCAATGGGGCAGGAAAGTAGGTCACGGAAGTAGGTTAAATTTACAACCATAAATTTAAAGAAAGGAGCAGTCTAAAGGCCTTTTATGGCTGATCGAGTGATCTATTCAGTTTATCCCTTGGCATGTCAAATTTATTTGAGTCATATAAGAATCTAGTAGAAGTGGTTTACATGTGTTACTCCACGCTCCACCGATGCTCGGTTCGTATGTCCTTTAAAAATTTGAATAAACCCACCCACTTCAGTCCCGTATACAGGAATTTCAAAAGGGTTTGTTTTTTTCTGAAAAAGTGGACATTTTACGATGAAACCTTTGTGTACTAGGGTAAAATTTTACCAAGAGGGGACCTTTTTCCGGCAAAAGGGGTTGTCTTAGAATATTTTAACAAACAAGAAGAAGAGCAAATAAGTTACATGCATAAAAAATCATGAGGAAATAATTCCTAAAAGTGAAAGTTATTAATGTAACCTTCACAAAAACACGATTTTGACCTCGATGACGTAAACATGCATTATAAGGAACAAGCGTTATGTAGGATAAGGATATAAAATAAATAACTGTTGAAATAAGCTTTATATTGATTTGCAACATGTTGGTATATTTTGACAAGTTAAGAAGATGGTGACCCACCCGACACCTCCTTGACTCAACATTTAACTTGCTGACCCTGCGTTTATTGCATTTCTGAAAACAGATTTAGTTATCTTGTTCGTGGCTGGTACCACCATGACACTATATGGTTCCATGGTACCACTGAATAGTGAATATCGCTGCCGTAGTCGTGTCCTGCTGGAGAAACATTTACATGTACGTGGATGCGAAAAAATTGTTTATCTTATCGGGAGAGAACCACCCCGAGCTTCAGAGATAACTTGAAACAAACCTCTACACCAAAGCAACCCTTGCCGTTTCAAGTGCGGAAGTTTGTTTCAAGTTAAAACTCAGGGTAGAAAGAACATTTGGCAATAGTAATGTGGGCGGAAATTCAGTTGAATCCAAACCACAGCGCGTCCAATTTCATAGTATACCCCTGCTATCACATGATAAAAGAGGATAGGAAAGGGAAGTTACTTTAAAAGCATTTGTAGCACTAAACTGAGAATCATTTTCGCTCCCGACAAAACAGTTTTAGACAGTTTGTGAGGAAATCGACTGAGGTACGCCTTATTTATGTATTTTTGGCTCGAATATTTCATTTGGAATTACTGATCAAACCAGTTGTTGAGTTACGTAAAATTTGCACCTACAGGGGAAAAAAACTCGCTCTTCTTCATATATCCTTCATAGAACGGTGAGTTTCTGTTGATTTTCTCTCTCCCTTTTGATTTTTTGGCCAACCGTAGCTCTGTTGTGTTGCATTTAAATTCTACTAAAACATTATTTAAAAATATTACTTCTGATATATTATCTGGAAATTAAAACAAATGACGTTCACTTGGACATATTTGTTTCACTTTCAGCATAACAATGACTAGAGTCAGTCTTCACACGAGATACTTACTCATACATGCATGCATCTTGGTTTCCCTTTGGGCGGCCATGTCGGGGAAAACGACAACAATTGCAACCCACAAGTGTGTCATCCAAGTGGACCATGGACCAAGAAACGATACACTTGTAAACTGCAGGCGACGACATCTACGAGCATTTCCAGCTGATCTCCCGATTACTACAACTGTTGCTGATTTCTGGACTAATGATTTCAGGCACATACATGATAAACAATTTCAGTTCTTGTCGAAACTGAGAATCTTGTATCTTGGAGGATGCAATATAACATATTTGGATAAGGACGCGTTTTACGGTCTTGACCTTTTAGAAGTCTTGAATTTGAATAGTAACCATCTACTTAATCCACCTGAACAAATCTTTAGGCCGCTGAAGTCTCTCAGGAGTATCAATCTGTCCTCAAATAAAGGCATATTTGGACCATCGCTTCCAGTATCTCTCTTTGAAGGGCTGCAACGTTTACAGTGTATTATTTTGAAGGGAATTGGATTGCAGTACATCGAAAATGGAACTTTTGCCACAAATATTGATCTTAAAAAGTTGCATCTGTCACACAACAAATTCAAGCATATTCCAGAAGCAGTGTTCAACAGCCCTGGAATAAGTAGTGTCTATCTGGATAATAACAAAATAAACGATTGCCGCATTAACATTTCAACCATCTGTCGTGAAAAAATTTTTCTGGATTTGTCTTACAATCGAATTTCGAAGTTATGTAGAGCAGATTTTCAACCACTGTCAGTGTCTGACCAATTCAGTCTGGATGTGGGACGGAACAACATAACACAGATATGTGACAACACTTTTACAGACATAAAGAATATCGGGGAACTTTCCATTTCCTTTAATCCTCTTTGCAAAACTGCACTGCGGCCAGTTAGCTGCAAAGGATTTCAGAATTTTACCTATAGTTTAAGGAAGAGTAGAATTTCTACCTTGAATGCGCGACGTATAGGCTTATTCTTTGATAAACTAGATCCGAATACATTCTGTTACTTTCGAAATGCATCTCTAAGAAAATTAGATATTGGACAGAATCATTTAGGTCGTATGCAACCGTTAACTTTTCAATTCCTGACCAATCTTACCGATTTAGAATTAGATAATTGTGGGATCCAGCCCTTTTCACTAGTAGCTGCTTTAAAGCCCCTCAGAAACACGATTAAAAAGATAGATTTTAGTTACAACAATCTGGATACAAATATTCTTGTTGGTACATTAAGGGTATGTCCACACTTAACTGAACTCCGTTTTGTAAATAAGTTGGATTACTTTAAGTCGCGTAAGCCAATGCGTTATTACGTGGGGGATCATTCAACTATAAGGAGCTTGGAGTTTAGGCCTAATAAAGCAAAAGGAATTACATATGTTTTCAAAAACTTGTCGTCTTTGAAGGAGCTTACAGTCAATGAACTCAATGGAGTACCGTATTCCTCCTTCAATTTGAAAAAGTTAAAGCTTGAAGATTTACAACAATTACAGAATTTAAACCTGTCCAGAAACGATGCATACCTACATTGTGATATACAGAGCGCAGATTACTTCAAAACAATGCCAAATATTCGACAGTTACACATGTATCGTAACAGGCTGTGTCTTACCAATGCCCCAACACTCCTCGTTATGTTTCAATCCCTTCACAATGTAACATATTTAGATTTAAGTAGTAACTGTTTCTCAGAACTTCCAGTGGGAATGTTTGACTCTATGGTGCGTCTTAGAACTCTACATCTGTCAAGAAACAAACTGCAGACTATTCCCAAGGGACTATTCAGAAACTTGAATCAACTCCACACCTTGACACTCTTCGCTAATTTCATATCCAACATCCAAGAAGTCGCCTTCGATGGCTTAGTATCATTACGTGTACTTCGTATGGGTGGCAATAAGTTAATCTGTGACTGCAATATACGGTGGTTTCAGCAATATTTTGAAAGATTTAACAAGGAGGACTTAGAAGAGATTTGCTTTGGTGGTGCTACAAAACACAAAATTAAAATAACTGAATTCAAACCTGACTGGTGGGAGTGTGATAACAAGAAGGACTCAGAAGAGTTTTGCTTTGGTGGTGCTTCAAAACACAAAATTAAAATAACTGAATTTAAACCTGACTGGTGGCAGTGTGATAACAACACGACGAAAGTGGCGGTCAGTATCCTTGGGGTGGTACTATTCATGTGTTTTATAGCTGGTATTGTTTACTATGCAAGATGGGACATTAGATTCGCTTTGGTCGTCAGGTTCGGGTGGCGATGTTGTACTAAGAAACCACAAGATGATGACATCAACCTTGAGAAGATATTTGACGCGTTTGTATCTTATTGTTTATTGGATACAGCCTGGGTTGCTGCCGAGCTGATCCCAAATCTGGAAAATGACGAGCAATTCAATTTTCGCCTTTGTATCCATGAGCGCAATTTCCTTCCCGGCAACTCTATTGTAGAAAGTGTTGAAGGAGCCATGGACGGCAGTTACAGTGTCATTTTCTGGATTACTCAAAACTTTCTGGAAAGCGATGATTGTGATTTTGAACTGAATTTGGCCAAGACCAAGCTGTCTGAAGGAAACATTCGCTCGGTTATTTTCATATTTGAAGAACGTTTTGATAAAACCGAACTACCGCAGCCTATGGGGATTATGATGCGACATTGCCAATGTCTTTATTGGCCAGAACTGTGGCTGCGCAAAAGGGACATTTTCTGGAAAAGACTGAAGCTTGCCTTGTTGGATACCAGGCCAAAAGATAATTGATTGGTTGTTTTATATGTCAGAACGTGGTGCCTTTGCTTTATTTACCATCGTTCTTTTTTATATGAAAACTGTTGTTATCCCAAACTGCTGATGACTAGCTACCGTGAATAAGCTGAAGAGCGTTATATATTAGTAAAAGCAATCGATTAACTTTCGTTGCTGACCCGCTTAGTTAAGTGCACGTCACTTTACAATATTTCACAAAACACAGATTTAAGGTGCATATTATACCGATCTCTGAACGTTTGCATTGACCCTACGTAACACTTTCGTTGCGATGTTTTGGGTAAAGAAATGTTCACGGATCAGAGAGAAATGCCTCCGTATATGTGAAGAAGAGACTAAAAATAATGTTCAGGGATAAATATTTCTACAACATTTTCGGCCAGCAGTTAAATGCTGTGCCACAGTCTGCGAAGGGGGTATTCTATTAACATTATAGTGTTTAAAACATTACACCGCTAGATGGAGCTACCGACTGCGATAACAATTAACTAATTATGTATGTGGGAAACTCATTGTAGATGAGGACATCTTTTGAGCATTTTTAACTTACACCACTTGGTCTCATAGTGGAGCCTAGTAGTGACACTCATTACGATCCCCGAGTACATTACACTGTATATACTTCAAAAAGAAAAAAAAATTCAATAACTATGGGATATCTTCTTAGGAGAAGTTTATCAAAATTAACGAATAAATGAAAACAGCGTTTAAATGTTTTTGAGCTTGTATATCATCTGCAAAGGTTGTACATGTAATGCAAATTTTATATATACTGAGTACTGATGAAGTTGACGTTCTCAAGTTTCCTGGATTTAATTTACGCACTTATATAATAGTGTATCATTCAGCCCACATAATGTTTATATCATTTATCAACATTATTAAATGTTTAATAATAATATGCTTTACTTTTTATTATTAATGGGACTTCCAACAAATGCGGCCATCATCGGCCAAATTTCGAACATCACACTTGAGTTTGTTCCAATCTTTTAAATGACATATCCTATTTCTTACATCAGCTTAGATCAAAGAGACATAAATAGTGTATCATTCTGCCAAAGGGTGTTGATAGAGAAGTTACACAAAAGGGATGATCTTTATCACTGTGATTATTTGACCACCAAGCCTAATAACCAGAAAAATAGGGGGGGGGGGGGGGCTAAAAAACTTCCGGCCGCCATGGACACGGCTCAATAAAACTTTGTCTATAATTAAATGTATGTATTCAGTGGCGGATGTATAGGGGGGCAGGGGGATTCTGATCACCCCACCCCCCTTTCGATTTCTGGTACCCTTTTGAAATTTAAATTTTGACTAGCTGAATCATAGTTCAAAACCAATGGCACCATACGATCTCTATAATACCAAAAAAATCCAGGGCCCTTAAGCAGACCCCGAAACCCACGCAAAGTTGGGGGGGTCGGCATAGCATCCGCGGACCCCCTTCAAATAATCCTGGATCCGCCCCTGTGCATTCTTTTTTCTTTGTTACATTGCCGTCCGCGCTGTCGTCCATTCAGATGGTTGAAATAAATAGAACCTACATGTAGATTAAGAAGTCGGCCAAATTTGAATTTCTTTGCAATAAGATGAAAATATTTAGTCGAAATTGACAAAATATGTTGTCTAATACAGTCCGACAATTCTTAAGTTTGTGCCATTTTTATATGCATTTATTTGCATGTCCACGAGAGAGTCAGGCAAAAGTAGTAAAGTGGGGTGAACACATCCTATTGAAATAAAGTGTGTTTAAGGTCCCTATGAAAGATTTTAGAAGCTGCATGCAATATTTCGTAAATCAGATCCACGTTTGTGGAGATATAGAAGTGATAATTTAGTGCCATTGTAACAGAAATGCGGCATATACCGAACCTTTCAAACCGCGGGGTTTTTATATAATAATTGCTTTTACTCTTAGACTTCCTCTTTTGAATCTAGGACGTTCAAAACCGGATGTCCTGGTTAATACCATCATCACTTGAGCCAGCTGAGGAAGCGGACCTTAATTCTCCCGAAACAGCCATGAAATGTCTGAGTCACATTTTCACTTTGTGATGTTACTTAATTAGGATAATCATTTAAACACCAGTTTTGTATTCCACAAAATCCTGATTTATAGCTGAAGTTGGATTTGAACTCATAGTACTAACTCTGTGTCGACACATCCTTGCTGCAGTGAAATCTAATCCACCGGCAGATGCTCAGCAGTAGCCGTCGTTAGCATTGCTAATAGTAATAGGAATCACCCCATTCTCTAGTAACCACACATTAAAAATGGAGGGGGGGGGGGGGAGCAAAAAAAAAANAAAAGGCCGTTTATGTATGGAATAGTATAGATGTATGTAGATAACTATACTGATTTTTATCAAAAAAAAAAAAATTACAGTGTTTTCCAAGTATATACGTTATTGGTAAAGGTACCTTTTGTAGTGATTCCAACAAAACCCAAGTACAAAACTTTGCACTGCATGAACAAAAAAGAGCGCTTAGAAGCTCTTGCCTCTTGCAGGCCACTTATTCAGCCTGGTGCAGGTACAACCAGTGGCGGATCTAGAGGGGGGACGGAGTCAGGTGGGTCCTGACCCCCCCCCCCTTCAGTCTCTGAAAAAATCACACTAATTTTCCCCACTTATTTATGGAATTATAATTTGGACTAGCTGATTTATAGAACTTTCAAAACCGCGCCAAATGGCTTCGTTCGCCCTCTAAAATGCCAAAACTTTTTGGGACCTTTCAGCGGGCCCCAAACCCCTCGCCAACGAGGGGGGGGGGGGGGCGACAGGGCGGCTTCACATCTGAACCCCCCCCCCTTCAAATATTCCTGGTTCCACCCCTGTACAACTGCTGTATAATAATGCACTAATTTGCATTCAAAATCATTGAGAAGTACTTGAATAAGTGTGTCAAAAGCTTTATAAATAAGATCCTTGAGCTTGTTTACATGAATGCTCTCAAAACAAAATGGATGTCACTTAATTGTCGTGTGTGTTTTGCCGTAGATTTTACATGTTTTATATGCATTGATTTTTAGCAGAACTTTTAACAGTAAATCCTCAATGTGACGGTTGAGAAATAAGATCACAATGAGTTTGATGTGCTCCATGTTGTACAATATGGATGCTTTGGGATATGGAATTGGACATTCCCTTTGCCCGAATTTTTTCTTATTTTTTTCGACAACAACTGGAACTGAGGTTAAAGGGATAATAACTCTTCGTTTCGGCCAAAAAATGAATTTTTCTGGAGTAACAACAATTTTCCCATACTTACCAATGGTTAATGAATCCATTTTTACATTCAAAGTTAGTCCCTGGTTTTTTTCTTAAGAGATTTTAACAGAGTATAGCCATCAATGGAGGTCACGTGGTCTAATGACAAGCTCAGATATCAGAATAATAGCTATAACTGCCGTTTTTTGGTAAAACATGTACATAATCTATTTTTATTGTGAAATATAGATCGCATACGAAGAGTTATTATCCCTTTAAGATATTTTAAGGGTTTATATTTTGACCAAATGTCGCTGAAATTTGGAAAATATACCCCTGAAGACTTATCCAGGGTCAGAAAAATTCTGCGACTTGACAAGCTCATTTAATCTTTATTTAGAATATAGTAGTAAACGTAAAGAAATACTAGAGAGGTTTGGTACCTTGTTTTCCAGTAAAAAGGATGTTTGCACAGGCATTTTCTGCTTACTTTCTGTGGTTTTGGGATTGGAGATGGAAGAAGCAGATAACATTTATGGAGAGCAGCCAGTGTCTTCATTCATTCCCAGTTCGGTTGATTTATGATTTTCATTAAAATGAAACGTAAAACAAACCTATGAGAAACTATGGGTTCTTAGGGGCTCATTTATACAGTGTATATACGGTCAGACCGCAAACATTTCTGGAAAGATAGGGTTGGTCATGAAAAGGACCGTTTCTGTATATCGATAATGTTGATTTACTTGGAGCTGGCGTACTTCAGACCTTATTAACGGATTATGCGTTAACTAACACCACCCACAGAATTATCCAAACACCATAATTTAGCACTAACAAAGCGATACCTAGCACTAACATTCGTCCGCTCTGGCAGTGCTGCCTATTTTGTGGGTTTGGGTGGTTAATATGGGTTTTAGTCCTAAAAGATCTGTTTTAAGGCCTATACTTAGAGATAAACTTTGTGTCCTCACTGAAAGCGTGCTTAGCAAGCTGACGGACAGCAGTCAGGACCTCTCTGGTGGTGGTGGAAAACGGCTGGTGATGGTAGAACTCTTGTTGTTTTGGGCAAGGCGGGAAGCTTCGGCAATATGTTCAAAGATGTCATTTCTCTGGTCCTGAGAAAATGTGCAGTAGTTATTACCCTTGGTCAACGTCTTCTTTTTCCTTTTCGATAGTATCCACAATTTTCATCGATAAGAAAGTTTTAAAAATTCAGCAGTGACCTCTGTTTGCGTTCTGTCCCGTTAGCTACATGGTTTTAAAATCAAGTGAGGGCCGGGGTTCGTTACTGTTACACATACCGGTATTTCCATGGAGGATATTAATCCTGCTGAGAATCACTCGTTTTGCTGACTACATTACTCCGGGTTTCCATTTACTCAAAGGGCCGACAGGCACGGACGTGATTAAAAATTATAACGATTAAACTGATAATCATGATATTTTATTCGGTGAATATCTATAAAATATATACATCTTTTATCTTGGCTCGTGTCTGAAATTTACAACGTCACGTGACACTATCTCCACCCCTCCGTTAGCAACGGTGGGCGGGACCAAACGGAGAAGATTCGTTATGCTTAGCATCAGAAAAAAAGAAAGCACAGTATTTTTACTTTTCAAACCGGTTATATTTATTTAGAATACGCAGAATGATAGATTGATATATAAATGAGAAAAATAACAGAAAAAAAAACTGAAATTAGGTGACAGAATGGTTTATTCATGCTATGCGTACATGTACGTCATTAACCAAGTTAAACATCAATTTGTCTGTTAGAGTCACGCGCTCTACTGTATTTAAAGTACAAAGTCCGAGTGTCTTTCCAATGAGTAATTAATCTTCGTGGCCCGAATATCAAGATACAAACAGTTCGCATATTACTTATACATCTTTTTGTGACTAGGATTTACATAGTTTTAAATCGATGAAACCTGGTGTTACTTGGTCGTGAGTAATACGTGAGTGATTCAAATGAGCTCAAATAAAAAATAATAGACAAAAACATTCCTATTTGCACAGCACTTCAATTAATTTAAATAAGTTTTATTATTTAGACTATTGCTATTATAACCAGCATTAATTAATTTTTAAATTTGTAAATCTTTAAATTAAAATTTGTTTTATTCACTTCATATTTTATTATTTATATAATTACTTGTTATTCTGATAATTTAGTAGTGCAGTTTTAAGAAATAAATAAATAAATATTATTATTACTATTATTATTATTATTATTATTATTATTAAATGAAACGATTTTATCACCTATCGTCATAGTTACTATTTATTTAGATTTACCAACAGTTTATCACTATTTCGCCTAATCACACGCCCCATAAGAACTTCTGCTACTTTCGCTCATTTGAATAGGGGTTTCGTCTGTGTCGTTTTCACCTTCATCCCTCCGTCTACAGACGCCGCATGAAATTTTACGAAATGGCTTCCTGATGCACTCGTAGAAAGGCTTCAACATACATTTTAATTCCTCGCGGTAAGGCCGGACACTAATACAGTAGAGAAAAAAATTTGATGCATGATTCAAGTAAAAAAGAAGAATGAAAACAGAAAACACGTAAGAATTCTTAATTAGATCTGCCTCACTCTGAGCGCCGTAAACGTCAATAACTCCAGCCTGTATAAAATTAAATCCCGTTGTCAAAATACAATACGATGCCGTGACTAGGACCAACATTATGGTGACTTCTTTTTCCGCCTTTTCCCTTTCCTCTTCGCCTTCGGAGTCACCATCATCACTAGATCCGGAGAAATGGATGGGCAAGCTTTTCTCTTCTTCAATTCTTTGTGATCTTTTCCTTGCTAAGTATACCTCGTACAGTAACCAGCCGTTGATAACAGGAAGACAGCAGAACGGCAAGGCCCAGTATATCACAAATGCCACCCACTTGTAGACCTTGTAGAACTCCAACATCCCTGGTAAGCCTGAAATTTAAATCGAGGTCATAACAAGGTCAGCCACGCACTCACTTTGTACAATATTTGCTCATTTTTCCCAGCATTTTTTCGCTGTAGAAGCTTACATTTACTATAGAGGGCCACCCTCCGAAATGGAAAAGAATCAATAGCATTTAAAGTGACATAAAACAGTTATACTAATATCGTAATTTGTGACTGAAATATCCACTATTTTTTGGTGGAATATGTAATTTTACAAGGACATATTTCCCGATAATTACTCTACCGTAATACAATTTCATATTTCCAATTTGGCCATTTTTATCGCTGTTTCAATGGTCAATGGTTCTGCTTAATTTCGAGACGGAGGAGGGGGTGATTTTAAAGGGATAACAACTGTTCGTTTTCGTTTTGAAAAAAAAAAAAAAAAACGGATTGTCCTGGGGTAAATGACAATTTCCCCTACTTACCTATGGAAAATGAATCCATTCCGACATCCTTAATTAGTAGATGGATTTTTTTCTTAAAACTTTCTTTTTTGTACTAACCTCTTAAGAAATTATTAAGAAGGTACCCTGTATTGCTATCTACGAAGGTCCACGTGTTCTGTTGGCAAGCACAGATTCCAGAATAATTGTGGTAACTGCTGTTTGGCTGGTAAAATGGAGTTTATCATATTTCTTAGATTTGTTTAAAATGCATTTATTATGAAATATGAAGCTCATACGGACAGTTGTTATTCCTTTAATGTATTTGCTTTGAAGAAACGGGGTGTGGACCGTGTGGTGGATACGGTATAGAGAAAGCGAGTTAGTCTCCAGATTATTGAATAAATTGATAAAGTAAAGATGCTATTGCATTTATGTAATTAAGATTCATGAAGAATTCAAGATTTATATCGTATATTGTATATAATTCGTCTCTGTTTATCTTTTGCTAGATTGCATCTACTGTAAACATAAACCTGCCAATATGCACTCGAAGCTAAGTACTTACCACAGTCATCACAGCCAGTAGTACAGTTATTGCACCTTTCATCGTGGAGTTCCAGTATTTCCCTGCTATCGTGGTATATATTCCAGCAAACCTTCTTACAGCATTCCTCAAAGTATATGTTTGAGAAGAATATAACAATATTCAAGAATACCATGACCAGGACAATAATCACGATATACAAACGCGTCTTCTTAATTGAAAACCACCTGTCGTGAGCTGGGGCGTCAATGACTCTCACAAGTCTCTCGATGCTCATGACAATCAAAGTAATCGCGCTGATTTGAGGTCCGCAATACACCGTGAATACAGTTATTTTACATATCACTTCACTGTCCGTCATCACACGGATTAAGAGCTCGTATTCAATCCAGTAAAAAATACCATTTATCAATATCAGTATGTCCGCCACCGCTACGGCGATCAGAAACTGACAAGTCGCTACACGCCGAAGTTCTTTTCGGGCAGAAACACATATTGTAAGTGTATTACAAATCAACCCAATGCAATATATAAGCGGTCGCCCTACGTAACGGATATAGTCCGATATTTGAGCAGCGTGATCGTAATTAGTTCCGTTGAAATAATGAGTGCGAATCATTGCAGTTGTGGCCGATTCGTTTGTTCTTATTTGTGTACACAACAGATAATCGGAAGGTGTGCAGTTACCCCATTCTGGCTCTGGTAACGACCCATAAAAGGTCGTTTGGATATTTTCCCAGTAACGCTCGAAAACCGATTCAGCGTATCCTTCACAAAAGAACAGGAGCAGTATCGTTGAAATGCCAAATTGTTTTGCCATCGAAATGCGGCGCTTCATCATCTCGGAAGACTTAATATTAAAGGACGCTTTGACAACAAACTGTCTTCCTCACACGTCACCAATAAAATGATATCAAATAAGTAGTCAGGCAGAACATTAACTAACTTGTCTCCTGAAACCACCCTGGGGTTCAAGGGATTAGCAAACTAATCTCTCTACTACATTGATTAGTTTTTTCAACGGGTATTTGACGTTTCCTCAAGCTTACGGAGGACCGGACTACGGGATAAGACTGGATAGGATGGGATGTTGTAGGATGGAATGGGATAGGATAGAATGGGATGGGAAGGGGTGGGATGGGATAATATAGGAAAGGATAGAATAGGATAAGATAGGGTAGGATAGGATGGGATAGGGCAGGAAAGAATAATGGGATGGGATAGGACCTTGCCGTTTATACTTTCACGCTGAAGGTAGAGAGGCGAGTTTTCAATTCCCTTAGAAACTCGGGGTCCCAAAAACTACTTCAGTATAAACATTTGGCGGTGTCAAAGTCTGTACTAATACACATTATTCACACACTACTTAAAAAACTGATAAAAATATCCTTTTATCTTTGAAGAGCAAAATCTACTGATATGTGTACCTCTTTCTCGCTCAGTAATACTTAACAATGGCGAATAGAATCATTAGTGATAATCTTTTGGAGATCAGCCATTCTATGTGACAAATTTACATGCAGTACTGATATATGGATCACATTCAACACTGTGTTCGCATTTATAGTTCAGTTTTAAACTTAACGCAATAAAATTTTATTTTTGTTTAAGACACATTTGTTAGAGGGCACAATATAATTATAGATAATAAAACAAAAAAATTAATACGTTATAATTACAACAGACATTAATAGCTTAGGCCTCCAAACCCGGGGGGGGGGGGAGGGGAGGGGGGAAATAAACGAGGCATATGATTGAAGCTAGGGAGCACACGTTATCAAATTATTAATTAATGAACTCTCCCACAGTATGAAAAGGACGTTTAAGGGGTGCCATAATATATACCAGTAAAAATACATTCGGCAAACCAGCTTCTTTCTCCCCATTTTTTCTTTGGTCAGACACTTATCCTTAGGTTGGTTCAAATGAATTATACACTAAAAGCACAAACTCCCATGCGTGGGTGATGGTTAAAGCAACAAAAGCCGTTTTGCACATTTGTTATAAGATTTTAATTGGTTCCCGACGTAATTCTGTACCGCTGACGTTGTCAGGGAAATTGGCATGGACGACGACGAAGGTGTGAACTACAACCGGTAAAAGCGTTTGNTCTTCACGTCATTATAGTTTCTGTAATTTAACAATTATCAATGTCCCATACTACCATGATATCTTGAAGGTGAATTAAACTGAATGCAATTAAGCTAGAATCCCCTCGGAGTTAGATCGATCCTGCTAGTACAGTAGGGTTATGGGAACCCAGTCTTAGTGATACAGCTTTTTGTGGGAAGGCTTTTCATAGTTTTGAGTCCATGTAACATGGTGGTACTTTGGTGTGACTCGAATACGTACGTGATTCACATCCGCTTAAATTAAACGATTCCCTAAATCTCATATTCACTACTTGTTCAGATTTTTCAAAAGTTGATCACTATTTCGCCTAATCACACGCCCCATAGTTACTTCTGCTACTTTCGCTCAATTGAATAGGGGTTTCGTCTGTGTCGTTTTCAGCTTCATCGTTCCGTCTACAGATACCGCATGTTATTGTACGAAAAGGCTTCGTGATGCACTCGTAGAAAGGCTTCAACATACATTTTAATTCCTCGCGGTAAGGCCGGACACTAATACAGTAGAGAAAAAAATTTGATGCATGATTCAAGTAGAAAAGAAGAATGAAAACAGAAAAAACGTAAGAATTCTTAATTAGATCTGCCTCACTCTCAGCGCCGTAAACGTCAATGACCCCAACCTGTATAAAATTAAATCCCGTTGTCAAAATACAATACGATGCCGTGACCAGGATCAACATTATTGTGACTTCTTTTTCCGCTTTTTTCCTTTCCTCTTCGCCTTCTGATTCACCATCATCACTAGACCCGGAGAAATGGCTGGGCAAGCTGTTCTCTTGTTCAGTTCCTCGCGACCGTTTCCTTGCTAAGTATATTTCGTACACTAACCAACCGTTGATAACAGGAAGGCTGCAGACCGGTAAGGCCCAGTATATCACAAATGCCACCCACTTGTAAACATCGTAGAACTTCAACATCCCTGGAACGCGTCAAATGAGATCGAGGTCATAAAAATGGAAACATTTGAGTCACATCAGTGACACACTCATTTCGTGGAATATTTGTATAATTTTGACTAGTCCCGTTAGCTTCGCAGTTATACGCTTTAGAAAGCCGATATGGAATAGAATCAACAGGTGCATCAAACATTTATACAAATATTACATATAATATGTCGTCACTTTAATGTTCAATTGACTCTCTTTTGTTCATGAACGCTAATTGCAGTTCACTTCTTACTTGTTGAGTAAATATATAAATGTAGACTCCAGCCCGCCATACTCCTTCGCAAGACAATAGACAACATTAGATTTTTATAATAAGCCGTAAGCATTAGATTTTTAGTAATTCGTCAGCATTAGATTTTTAATTAATCCAGACTGCGATGTGGGGACCTTTGAACATAACATGGTGCAACTTTTAACTGAAACTTTTAAAGATTTATTCATTTTAAATATTTCTCTGTCCAATATCTTACCTTGAATTTACAGTATTTTAGAATGATCTTATCGCGCGTCTTAGAATGGGGTAATAAATAAATATGTTTACCAACACGCACTTGAATCTAAACACTTACCGGTTTGATGCGTTTCTTCGTAGAGTTCCAGTATTTCCCTGCTATCGTGGTATATATTCCAACAAACCTTCTTACAGCATTCATCAAAGTATATGTGGGTGTAAAAGATGTTAATGTTCAAGAATACCATGACCAGGACAATGATCACGATATACAAACGCGTCTTCTTAATAGAAAACCACCTGTCATGGGCCGCAGGGTCGATAATTCTCATAAGTCTCTCGATGCTCATGACAATCAAAGTAATCGCGCTAATTTCAGGTCCGCAATACACCGTGAATACAGTAATTCTACATATCACTTCACTGTCCGTCATCACAGGGGTTAAGAGCTCGTATTCAATCCAGTAAAAAACACCATTTATCAATATCAGTATGTCCGCCACCGCTACGGCGATCAAAAACTGACAGGTCACTACACGGCGAAGTTCTTTTCGGGCAAAAACACATATTGTAAGTGTATTGCAAATCAACCCAATGCAATAGATAAGCGGCCGGCCAACGTAACGAATATAGTCCGATATTTGAGCGTCGAGTTCGTAATCAGTTCCGTTAACGTTGAAATAATCCGAATAATTAGTGCGAATCCTTGCAGTTGTGACCGATTCGTTTGCTCTTATTTGCGTACACTTCACATAATCAGAAAGATTGCAGTTACCCCCTTCAGGCTCTGGTAATGACCCATAAAAGCTCGTCTGGACATTTTCCCAGTAACCATCGAAAACCCACTCAGCATATCCTTGACAAAAGAACAGGAGCAGTAGCGTCGAAATGCCAAATTGTTTTGCCATCGAAATGCGGCGCTTCATCATCTCGGAAGACTTAATGTTAAAGGACGCTAATAAACGGTCTTCTGCACACGTTACTGTTTAAGTGATATCAATTAGTCAAGCAGAACATTAACTAACTTGTCTCCTGAAACCACCCTGGGGTTCAAGGGACATAGCAAACTCATCTCTCTACTACATTTATCATATTTATCAACAGACAGTTGCCGTTTCCTCAAGTGGCGCCCTCACGGTGGACTGTAAAGGGTGGGTAAGGATGGGGTAGGATAATATAGGATGGGATAGGATAATAAAGGATAGGGTAAGATAATATAGGATGGGTAGGATAGGATAGAATAAGGTAGGCAGGCCCGTAGCCAGGAGGGTTCGGGGGGTTCGAAAGAACCCCCCTTTTGGTGGGAAAAGGTCCACTCTGGGTAAAATTTAGGTACATGAAGTTTTTATGGGAAAAGGTCCACTTTTTCAGAAAAAGAACCCCCCTTTTGAAATTGCTTGCTACAGGCCTGGTAGGATAGGATAAGATAGGGTAAGGTGGGATAATATAGGATAGGCCGGGATATGGTAAGAAAGGATTATAGTATGGGAAAGGATATGAACATGCCGATTGTCGTTTCATGCTGAAGCTAGAGAGGCCAGTTTCAGTGCCCTTAGAAACTCAGGGTGCCAAAAACTACTTCAGTATAAACAGGCCAAGGCTATTTGCCAGTTCCAAAGTCTGTACAAATGTACATAATATACACACACTGTTTTAAAAACTGATTAAAATGCCCTTTTATCTTTGAAGCACAAAATCTACTGATATGAGTATCTCTTTCGTCGCTCAGTGATAATCAACAATGGCGAATAGAATTATTAGTGATAATCCTTTGGAGATCAGCCATTCTCTGTGACACATTTACATTCGTTGTTTTCATATTATAAAATCAGTTTTAAACTTAACCCAATACAAGTTATACAAGAGATTATAATACATAAATTATAATACTTTATAATCACAACAGAAAGTAATAGATTAAGCCCCCAAACCCGGGGGGGGGGGGGGGGGGAGGGGGG